TCTGTAGTAGTTAAAACATGCAAAATCGCACTGTTCTAAAAAGCTTTAGGCGTTCGTCTAGGTGGCGCTAGCCGCTAAACCCCATAGATCGTGAAGATTACCGTCTATACCGCCTAAAATATTAAAGTATTATAATAATAAAATAATATAACTTTTTATATATAGAAATTATAACATTCTATATATTTTGCTATATATCATGGATATAAATTACTATATAAATTTTATTATTTATAAATGATACTTTTTATATATTTGGCTATATATGCCTAATATATCATCTATTTTTGTACGAAACTTAGACCGTCTATTAAATCGTATAGGTTTCGATTAGACGTTCTAGATACTATGTATTTGAACATTGCAAAATCGTATAAATAATTTTTTAAATTACATTATTACCATTTACTTAAAATATCTCTAAAATTCTATCATCCATCTAGTGATTCAAAATGATCTATCTCTATTTGTGAGTAAGTAGAAAACATGTCAAACAAACCTAACAAGCCTATGATTATGATTCATAACATTGAAACTTTGTCCACAAGAGTCAAAAGAGAAATCATACTATTTTATTAATAACAAAGTCAAAATGATTCTTTAACAAACAATGACGTTTACTCAAACTTCTTTCTTGGGTTTCTTTAAATTTTATTGATTTTGTTGGTGTAGGTGTAATGGCAAAAATCTAAGCAGGTGGTTTGATACGCAAGAAACTCTTCGATTTCGCTTATAACTAGTAAGTTTTTCTTTGTATTTCAAAACCAGACAACCGAAATAGAAATTATGAATCTTGACAATTATTTTCGTGAGTACAGTAAACTGACTTTATTAACATATGTAGGAGATATTGGAGAATGGCAAGAAGATGGATCAATGAAGATCATAGATAGGAAGAAGAACATATTCAAGTTGTCTCAAGGTGAATATGTAGCTGTCCAAAACCTCGAGAACACTTACTCAAGATGTCCTCTCATTGATCAGGTATGTATTCATTAAGAAAATATTTTTAAATGACAATTTTGTTCCAATAGTACTATATATAACTATAGTAATATTGTTATCTGACTATAGTTATATTGTTATCTAAGTTTATCAAAAAACAAAATAAAAATAAAAATTGTTATCTGATCATAGTATATCTATCAACAATATTACAGATATGGATCTATGGAAATAGCTTCGAGTCATTTTTGACAGGAGTAGTTGTACCTGAGAAAAAGCTATTGAAAATTGGGCTAAATTCAATAACCAATTATCTTGCAATGATTTTGAATCTCTATATATGTCAAAATTTCAAAGCACAAAAATACTTTTTGGATGAGCTTACCGCAAAACAATTCCAAGGACATAAACTTTTTATTCTCACATTTAAACATCGAAATTATTTTATTAATTCTAAAGGAAAATATTGTCTTTTCTTTTTGTGTTTGTAGCTTAAAGGATTTGGAACGTTGAAAGCGATTCATTTGGAACCAAACCTTTTTGATATTGAACTACTCTAACACTACAACCTTAAGGTGATCATTTTTCGTTATACTCGCTTTTTCTTTAATATTTTTCTTCGATTTCTCTCTTCAATGTTTTGTTCAAAGGTAATATTTCTCTTCAAAGTTTTGTTCTTGTCGTTAGAATTG